AATTATGGGGGTGCCCAGAAGATGAGAGAGAAGCAAGATATTGAAACCTATTTGAAGAAATAATGACAGAAAACTTCCCTTACCTGGTGAAAGAAATAGACTTCCAAGTCCAGGAAGCGCAGAGACCCCCAAACAAAAGGAATCCAAAGAGGACCACACCAAGACACATCATAATTAAAATGCCAAGAGCAAAAGACAAAGAGAGAATCTTAAAAGCAGCAAGAGAAAGAAACTCAGTTACCTACAAGGGAATACCCATACAACTGTCAGCTGATTTCTCAACAGAAACTTTGCAGGCCAGAAGGGAGTGGCAAGAAATATTCAAAGTGATGAATAGCAAGAACCTACAACCAAGATCACTTTACCCAGCAAAGCTATCATTCAGAATTGAAGGTCAGATAAAGAGCTTCACAGATAAGAAAAAGCTAAAGGAGTTCATCACCACCAAACCAGTATTATATGAAATGCTGAAAGGTATCCTTTAAGAAGAGGAAGAAGAAGAAAAAGGTAAAGATACAAATTATGAACAACAAATACACATCTATCAACAAGTGAATCTAAGAATCAAGTGAATAAATCATCTGATGAACAGAATGAACTGGTGATTATAATAGAATCAGGGACATAGAAAGGGAATGGACTGACTATTCTTGGGGGGGAAAGGGGTGTGGGGGATGAGGGAAGAGACTGGACAAAAATTGTGCACCTATGGATGAGGACAGTGGGTGGGGAGTGAGGTTGGAGGGTGGGGTGGGAATTGGGAGGAGGGGAGTTATGGGGGGAAAAAAGAGGAATGTAATAATCTGAACAATAAAGATTTAATTAAAAAAATAAAAAAAATAAAAAGATTCCCATGTGATTCTAATGTGCAGCCAACGTTGAGAACCACTGGATTAAGGCGTCTTCTGATTTACAATATAACACTTAGAAGGGAAAAGCCGGCGAGATAAAATGGATTTAACTGCGTGTTAAGGTGTTGAGCACAGCAAAGGAGAGGTTCATGCAGATGGCAGGTGGGTCAAAGAGAAGGAAGGAACCTGGACCTGGAATCAGGGAAGAGAGGAGACAAGAGAGTGGGGGGTGGGGGGAATTTATTTATACTAAAAAAGACATTGGGGTCATGAATAAAGAAAGAGAAGTGAAGGAATAAGCACCAAGAAGGCTCTGACTACTAAAAAGTTGACTATGGAAGAAGGCAAAAGAGTTTGAGTTGGGATATGGGAGTTTCAGTGGCTCCTGGATTGGCCCTCCCCAGGGCTCACCGTCCCAGCAGGAACCCCGTCTCTCCCCAGTCCTGGTCTCTAGCCCTGCTTTCCAGTTCCAGCTCACCTTTGTCTTCCAGCAGTACATCTTAGGTAGGCAGTGACTTTTTTTTTTCTAAATTACTATCTATAGTTTAATGAAAAATAGTAATGATTGTGTAACCAAACAGCTAAAAGTATAATCACAGGTGTTTTAACAATTCCCTGATTAGTACACAATCCACAGAGCAACATGCCTATATGAATAGATTAAGTACATTGGCCTTGAAACACTATGGGTGGCATAGAAGTGGTCCAAGCAATTATTCAAGAGACCCAAGGATGGTCACATCTTCCCAAGCAAAAGAAGAGATTACAGACATTTTCTTATGTTTTACATAGAAATTCGCATATGTTATTGGACAGACAGTAGTTAGTTATTCAACTTCATTAAAAAACTAAATTCTAAAAGATAATGAATTGTTTATTATTCATTTTCTATACCTGCATAGGCACAAACTAAAGGCATTGAAGTTCTTGCTATTAGAAATAATAATCAATTAATATATGGTAATTCATGCTTCCTCTTATTTTCTCTTTCAGTCCCTACCAAAACCTTACATTGTCAATGCAGTAAGAATGATAGAACAAATTTTCAATTAGGGAGCTCAAGGCATAAATCTAGAAACATACTATTAAATGTTGGGGATACATCAGGAAACAAAGATAAAAAACCTTCATGGACCTTAAAATCTCAGATTTGTGTTGAAATAGGTACAGTTATGGCTTTGAGAATTATGAATGAAGGTGCCCAAATACATATTCATAATAAAGTATGTTTTTAAAGAACTGCATTAGTAGCCAGGGGATTTGTATGTTCTTTTTTTTTTTAAATTTAAATTCTTTATTGTTTAAAGTATTACATAAGTCTCCTTTTCCCCCCATTAACCTGTCCCAGGCTACCCGCACCCCCCAGCAGTGACTTTTTATTTTTATTTTTTATTATTATTTTTAATTTTGTTTTATTGCTTAAAGTATTACAAAGAGTATTATATATGTCTCCTTCCCCCCCCCCCTTGACATTCCCCCGGCCTCCCCTACCCCCCAGTGTCTTATGTCCATTGGTTATGCTTATATGCATGCATACAAGTCCTTCGGTTGATCTCTTACCACCCCCCTCACACCCCCCAACCCTCCCCAGCCTTCCCGCTGTACTTTGACAGTCTGTTCGATGCTGCTCTGCCTCTGTATCTATTTTTGTTTATCAGCTTATAATGGTCTTTATTATCCATAAATGAGTGAGATCATGTGGTATTTTTCTTTCATTGACTGGCTTATTTCACTTAGCATAATGTTCTCCAGTTCCATCCATGCTGTTGCAAATGGTAAGAATTCCTTCTTTTTTACAGCAGCATAGTATTCCATTGTGTAGATGTACCACAGTTTTCGAATCCATTCATCTGCTGATGGGTACTTAGGCTGTTTCCAGATCTTCACTATGGTAAATTGTGCTCAGCAGTGACTTTTTAAAAATTTTTATTTTTCAATTACAGTTGACATACAATATTAGTTTTGGGTGTGCAATATAGAAAGTGATCACCCACTAAGTCTAGCAGACATATGGCATCATTCATAGTTATTACAATGTTATCCACTATAGGCAGTGACTTCTTGATGATGATGATGATGATGATGATGGGGGCCGTGATGGTGGTGGTGATGACAGCGGAGTGGGTGGAGCATTTGACAAGTTGCTGGTGCTCATTGGGGCCAGGATGCTCTGAGAGACCAATGAAATTACAATGAAACTGCAAATGCTCTTAGAACAGTGAAAGAAAAGAAAAGAAAAGAAAAGAAAAGAAAAGAAAAGAAAAGAAAAGTAAAGAAAAGAAAAAAAGAAAACTAAAGAAAAGAGAAAACAGATACTCGCAGCAGGTCAAGGAGATTTACCAATCGAGCCCTGAGACACAGCCTCTCCATCAGTGGGGGAGGTGGTGTGGACACGATGATATTCTAGACCCTCTGTTTCTCCCACCTTGTGTTCTGTAGACTTTGGTTCAATAAGGTGGACTGGTACACTGAGCCTTTGTGGTGTGGATTAGTGGGCTCATCTGGGCTCTGGGTTCCTGGCTTCCCTTCCCCATGAGCCTGTCCTCCAGGAACTCAGGGAGCAAATCTTCCATTGCTCCTCCTGCTCACTCACTGGGCTCCCACTCTCCCATCCAGTCAAGTCCCTGAGACCTCGGTGCCCCGTAAGCTCCGCTGGGACACCTGGGGGAAGCTTCTGCACAGGTGGCTTGGGCTGAACA